GGGAGTCTGCTGCGTACAACCGGACTACCTGGAAACTTCTACCCGAAGAGGGGCAGCGACCCGCCGTTATTGAAGAAAAGGGCAGTTGAGGAGCGCAGACAAGCGAGAAAGATACATACAACCGGCCCTTTTACTTACAGACACTGTTTCCTGGCCTCGTTGTCCTAGATTCTTCCTGGCCCTAACTTGGCTAATAAGTCACAATCGGACTCACAGAACTCAAACTATAATTTCATGACGTATCAAAGAAATAGCGCCCCTCATTGTGATGGACGAACAACAATACAGTTGGTGCTAACATTGCAGCTGATGCAGCCTGAATATGTCTAACACGAACAGTCACTGTCTGCATGTTATCACTTCAGACTGTCCTGCGGGATTTTACGGCACCCTGTGTGAGGTTCATTGTTCTGCATTCTGTAGAAACAGATCCTGTGACAAGGTGGATGGTGTTTGTCATAGTTGTGTAGACGGCTACCAAGGGGAATACTGTAGCCAAGGTAATGTTTGTTGGACATTTCAACATGTAATGTTTGTTGGACATTTCAACATGTAATGTTTGTTGGATATTTCAACATGTAATGTTTGTTGGATATTTCAACATGTAATGTTTGTTGGACATTTCAACATGTAATGTTTGTTGGACATTTCAACATGTAATGTTTGTTGGATATTTCAACATGTAATGTTTGTTGGACATTTCAACATGTAATGTTTGTTGGACATTTCAACATGTAATGTTTGTTGGATATTTCAACATGTAATGTTTGTTGGACATTTCAACATGTAATGTTTGTTGGATATTTCAACATGTAATGTTTGTTGGACATTTCAACATGTAATGTTTGTTGGACATTTCAACATGTAATGTTTGTTGGACATTTCAACATGTAATGTTTGTTGGACATTTCAACATGTAATGTTTGTTGGATATTTCAACATGTAATGTTTGTTGGACATTTCAACATGTAATGTTTGTTGGATATTTCAACATGTAATGTTTGTTGGACATTTCAACATGTAATGTTTGTTGGACATTTCAACATGTAATGTTTGTTGGATATTTCAACATGTAATGTTTGTTGGATATTTCAACATGTAATGTTTGTTGGACATTTCAACATGTAATGTTTGTTGGACATTTCAAACATGTAATGTTTGTTGGATATTTCAACATGTAATGTTTGTTGGACATTTCAACATGTAATGTTTGTTGGACATTTCAACATGTAATGTTTGTTGGATATTTCAACATGTAATGTTTGTTGGACATTTCAACATGTAATGTTTGTTAGATATTTCAACATGTAATGTTTGTTGGACATTTCAACATGTAATGTTTGTTGGACATTTCAACATGTAATGTTTGTTGGATATTTCAACATGTAATGTTTGTTGGATATTTCAACATGTAATGTTTGTTGGACATTTCAACATGTAATGTTTGTTGGACATTTCAACATGTAATGTTTGTTGGATATTTCAACATGTAATGTTTGTTGGACATTTTAACATGTAATGTTTGTTGGACATTTTAACATGTAATGTTTGTTGGACATTTCAACATGTAATGTTTGTTGGACATTTCAACATGTAATGTTTGTTGGACATTTCAACATGTAATGTTTGTTGGATATTTAAACATGTAATGTTTGTTGGACATTTTAACATGTAATGTTTGTTGGACATTTCAACCTGTAATGTTTTTTGGACATTTCAACATGTAATGTTTGTTGGACATTTCAACATGTAATGTTTATTGGACATTTCAAAATGGAATGTTTGTCGGACATTTCAACATCTAACGTTTGTTGGACATTGCAACATGTAATGTTTGTTAAACGTTTCAACATACACTGTTTGTTGGACATTTCAACATCTAATGTTTGTTGGACATTTCAACATATAATGTTTGTTGGAAATTTCAACATCTAATGTTTGTTGGACATTTCAGCCTCCAATGTTTGTCGGGCATTTCAATCGTCTAATGTTTGTCGGACATATCAACATCTAATGTTTGTCAGACATTTTAACATCTAATATTTTTCTGATACATCAACATCTAATGTTTGTCGGACACTTAAACATATAATATTTGTTTGATATATCAACATCTAATGTTTGTCAGACATTTAAACATCTAATGTTTGTCGGAAATCTTCAACATCTAATGTTTGTCTGATATATCAACATCTAATGTTTGTCGGACATTTCAACATCCAATGTTTGTCTGATATATCAACATCTAATGTTTGTCGGACATTTCAACATCTAACGTTTGATAAGCATTTCAACATTTACTATTTGTCTGATTTATCAACATCTAATGTTTGTCGGACATTTCAACATCTAATGTGTGTCAGACATTTTAACATCTAATGTTTGTCGGACATTTCAACACCTAATGTTTGTCCGACATTTCAACATATACTGTTTGTCGGACACTTAAACATATAATATTTGTTTGATATTTCAACATCTAAAATTTGTCAGACATTTAAACATTTTTGTCGGACATTACAACGTCTAATATTTGTCTCATATATCAACACCTAATGTTTATCGGATATTTCAACATCTAATGTTTGTCTGATATATCAACATCAAGTGTTTGTCGGACATGTAAACATCTAATTTTTGTCAGAAATTTTAACATCCAATGTTTGACGAGCATTTCAACATTTACTTTTTGTCTGATATATCAACATCTGATGTTAGTCGGACATTTCAACCATAAATGTTTATCGGGCATTTCAATCGTCTAATCTGTGTCGGACATTTCAACATCTAATGTTTGTCGGACATTTCAACATGTAAAGTTTGTCCGTCATTTCAACATCCAATTTTTGTCCGACGTTTCAACACATAATGTTTGTCCGACATTTCAACATTTAATATTTGTCTGATATATCAGCATCTAATGTTTGTCATACATTTTAACATCTAATATTTGTCTGATATATCAACATCTAATGTTTGTCGGACATTTTAACATCTTATGTTTGTCGGACATTTCAACATATAATGTTTGTCGGAAATTCCAACATCTATTGCTTGTCCGACATATCACAATCTAATTTTTGTAGACATCTCAACATCTAATATTTGTCCGACATGTCAACATCTAATGTTTACCGGACATTTCAACATCTATAATTGTTATGATACATCAACATCTAATGTTTGTCTGAACTTCAACATATAATATTGGCTAGTAAAGACAATAAAACAAAGAAAATTGAAATATTTTGGTCACTTGAAACGTCATGGAAGTCTAGAGAGAACAATAATGGAGGGGTATATGCCTGGGAAGAGAGGAAGAGGAAGGCCAAGGAGGAGATGGGTGCAGGATGTGGCAGATGATCTCCAGATGGGTGTATCAGACGCAGGACATCTTGCTCATGATTGGAAGGTTTTCCGGAGGGTTGTTATGGCAGCGAGGTTCCGCGAGGGACATGCTACTGAATGAATGAATGGATGTTTGTCGGACATTTCAACATCTAATGTTTGTTGGACATAATATCTAATATATGTCTGATATATGAACATCATATATTTGTCGAACATTTCAACATCTAATGTTTGTCCGACATTTCAACATCTTATGTTTGTCGGACATTTTAACATCTAACGTTTGTCCGACATTTCAATATCCGTATATGGGTTCCAATACAAACATCTTAAAGGGTAGGGATGTTCTGGGCTGGGAGGGGTGGGGGTATGAGAGTATGGAATGGTGGGGGTTTGGGGGGGGGGGGGGGGGGGGGTAACTGTTATTTAAAATGAATATAGTAAAGGGTCAGGGTGTTTCCTTTGCAGTCTGAGTGATCTGACTGAGAGGTGAGGAACCAACAGTC